GTTTAAACTTTTAGTTTACTTATATTTTTAAACTTTTAGTTTAAAAATTATAAAAACTAAACAGCCTACAGTATTTTTACAGTCTTTATTTTACAGTTAAAATATATGTTTATCATATAAAGTCTAATCTTATAACTAATCGGGGATCCTTTAATGTCAGAGCTGTTATACCTTCCACTGCATCCACCAAAACTTTGTGTTTAGAACTTGGTTTATTATTTATCTTCTGGTGTGTTCAATCTGCAGGAACAAACAGCAGAACACCACACATACATACACACACACACACACACACACACACACACTGAGACAAAGTATTCTGTCATGAAGGCCTGTTCTTTCACATGTAAACAGTTTCAGAACCAGCCTACAGTCAGTGTGGGCAGGATCAGTGTTTATGCAACAGAGAACTATCTTTGATTTTCATCCAGTACTTGGTAAAAACAGCTTACAGACAAGTTTTAGCTGTGGCTAACATGAATCCACTTGATAAGTTCTGATGAAAGTTTCTGGAGCTGTTGTCTCAGCTCTGAACCAGGCAGCTCTATAAAAAACCTCTCAGCTCAGAGAAGAACAAATGAGCTCAGACATGAAGAGACTGATCACTGCTCAACTACAAACACACACTCTGAAAAACAAACTCTGATAAACATTCAGGTGACACAGTTGCTGCGCTGGCAACAACGACGAGACGTGAGCGTGTCTGCAGCTCACCAGTGTGTCTTCACTGAGACACAGTTTGACACTGTCCTGTTCCAGAGGACAAACACGTCTTTAATCCAACCTACAGAAGTGTCTGATTCACAGAACATACTGAAAAGTTCATCCAGTTCCAGCTCACTCAGAGGTCATCAAACAGTTAATCTGTTTTCATCTTCTTCTATCAGACCATCCCTCCATTCAGAGCCAGCACTCCTCCTCCTCCTCCTCCTCTTCCTCCTCCTCAGTCTCTGCCTCTGCAGACACACCTGCTCTGCATACTAACAGAGCAGCTGCACCACCCTGCTCCACACTCACAATA